GACTCTGCACCACGCAGTGAGAATACAGACAGACCTGCAGTCATCCAAGGGGAAGGGTTAATGAACCCAAAACGAGGCAGCTTACTTCCACTGCTCTACTGGTATGTGCAGAAAAAAAAAATCCCATTGGTAAGGATGCTCCTAAAATCCCTTAGAATTTCTGTTTCACAATTCCTGCTGCAAACTCACCTCCAGGCTCATGTCTCACACCCAAGCCAAGCAAAATCTTTAGGGCACTTTTTCATGCCTTGCCTGACTGTTCTTTTAACTGGCTGTCCGGTACATGTTTTCCAAATGCCAAAATTGTCACTACACCTGGAAAAAGCCAGGTATTAATAGACTGAATACAGAACCTTGTCAAAGACCAGATGCCGAAAACTGAACCAGCAGAGGAGGCTGGAGGCAGGTCTCCCATACAGTCTCACTAACACGATTTAAAAGGATTTAAAATCTTCACCACACATGCTCCCTGTTCCAACATTCCCACCCCCATGCATACCATTTATAAACAGTAAGCAGGTGCTCGCCCCAAGCCCTGGCTCTCATTTCCATACATTAATAGTCCATAACAGTAAAATATTCCAATATCAGATAACGGGGCCTCTGTTCAATCCACTTATAAACGAATAAAAGACACTAAGTACTCCAGGGCCTCGTCCGCCTGTCTTTTTTGGTTTTGTTTTTAAAACTAGACAAATTACATCCGTGTCCTCCCCTCTTCCGACACCGCCAATCCATTTCATAGTCCCGGGGGGTAATTTTGTTGACAGAAGGATTCATTTCTTGGGACTGACACTCACTGGTCTTAGCACAAGGTGCCATAGAAGAACTGAGCTAAAATGGGAAGTTCTCAGGCCAGCACTATGCTGCGATGCAGCAACAACCCAACATGGAGACAGAGCTGGGCTGTCAACTTCTCAGAGACGGTTTCTTTTCTGCACGCTGACCTCGGAGACTTACCACAGAATGAGATGATGTGGCTACTGTCCTCGTGCACAAACTTCCTTGTCACAGCTTCCTCCATAATCTGCTTCACCTGTCGAACAAGGAGATAGTTAGGAAAAAACCTTTTTACACAAGCAACATAACTGGGGCAGAACAAGAGAATTACAGACAGCTATACACCGGAGCAGGTCTGACATGTTCCATCCAGCAGAGGGAATCAATGAATATCTGCTCAACATCTGCATGGGCCAAAATCGCAAGGCTCAGAGAGCACCAAGCTATTTAAGTGCTTGAGTTTATAACACAAAAGATAAGTAAGGAACTCTCTCTCTCTGCTGTCCTTCTTCTCTGATAGCCACTAACAGGCCCCGTGGCCACACCCAGGTTGCGTGGTCTCGTGGGAAGCCACAATCCATTGGCCTGCCAGGCTCCACACAAGCCACTTGAAAGAGCAATGCTATAACAAATGAGGCAAATGATTTTTGCTTCATTTATAATTTTCAGAGAGGCCTTAGACCAGGAAAAGGGAGCAGAAAATTAAATCCAGGAATTGAAAGGCATTCAGTTAAAAAGAATCAATCAGGGTCACCAAATCCAGCTTTAACACATTTATGGTATTTTTTACGCACTCCTGTTTTATGTGCATTTGACAAATTTCATGCCATGCAGCTGGCCTGAACAACCTGGAACTAGCCCATCAAGCCAGACGTCAGTGAATCAGCTCTTATCAAATGAGACTGGGACGGTAATTTGCATACCAATGTAATCAGTGCTGAACCTGAGTGACTGAATCTCTATTGCCTGTGACATATTACTGGCATTCTGTTCAGTTCACTTCATTAAAGGGAACCTGTCAAGTAGGCTGGACATTAGGGGCAGGATATTAAAAACGGAACCCACATAATTATGAGCAGATTTTGAAGGCACAAAATGGGAGGTCAGATGTAAAAGTCAGACCTAAAATATTACCCATGGTACAGTGCCAGGGGGACAGATGAGCAACTGCGGCAGATCAAGGCACTGGCTTGTCCTAATGGCTCCAGAGGCTTTAAGAACTACTGAAGTTGGCAGAACTAGAAAAGAAACAGCCCATACATTTAACTGAGGTCACGAGAGTTCCCTGTCTCCTAAAGAGACCACGGTCACCAAGTGCCAATGTTACAAGAAAACCCCATAGCTATCAATGTGTCTCGGAGCTAAAAGAGAAGATTCTTCAGGCCTGTCTCCAACACACACTGGGAGCCCTGACATACAGAAATAACCCATTGTGGAAAGTGATCATAAATGTATAAAATCAAGAAATAAGGCCAACACATCAGAGCACAGTCCGAAACAGAGAGTGTTGGTAGGTCTAGCTCCTACCCCTTTCCGAAGGGAATCTGTGCTCACTGTATTTATTCTCAGCTTCCTGAGGTTGGACCTTATTGGCCATTCAAACAACGATGGAAGAGTAAACTTCAGGTCACTTTCTCTCTATGCTTCGCTTTTCCTAGGATTTCCCTGGAGGAACCTCTCTGTCTAGACCCTAGTCATGCTTCTGCCTTGGTAGCGATGCCATGCAATAACCACAAAATTATAACTAAAGCATTTATCTTTGTGCTCCTAGATTAGATAAAACCAATTTTAAAAAATCTAATGTGTCTTTAAAAAATATTTGTCCCCTTCATGGCATCACTATTGACCAAAATTGTTTGGACACTTTTGCTATGCATTTCCATACAGTAACATGGTTGGATTTCTCTTAAGTATAAACTTAACTCTAAATTTCATGGGTTTATAATGCTTGGCTTGGGGATAATTACAACATTCCGGTCACGCTTCTTACCCTTAAAGGTCCTATTACACGCGCGCACACCCACACCCACACTCCTTTTCACTACAGATTTGACAGATTGTTCATCTCCAACATCCCTGTAAGCACAAGAAGTGGATTTGATACAGGCTTCCAGAGGAGATGAAAATGGGGGAGGAGAGAGAAGTCCGACTCCAACTTAGGGCGCATTCCTTTTTGTGAAATTCAAAATAATTATATGCCTTGCACCACGTCCCAGAGCAGGGAGATTGTGGTCTTGTCAGGCTTGCCAGATGGGAGTCTTCACAGCAGAGAGCTGCTTATTTTCAATCTCCCTGCATTCAGACTCCACTCCCGGCCCCTACCAGTCGGACTGCGGTTCTGTTGGTCGTTTCCAAGCAGATTTATTTTTGTGACAACTTCCTTCCCTCCCTCCCTCTCCCCGTGTTCCCCAGGAGTTGGTTTCCCTGTGGATGAGTAGGTGGTTTCTATGAAATGCAGTTACTCTGATCAGAACGCTAATAGGGAAGAGATTGAAAGGAGCCTCTGAACAGATGCTGCTGCTAATGAGTAGTGATGCCCAGGTGTGTGCTAACACCAGCACATGCTCTACAGGGGGTTCCCAGCCTCCTGCCGCTCACGTCTAGGGGATGAATGTTCACAGACCCCAAGGTGACAAACCAAAACTCACAGACACAGATCTTTTCCTTTTAAACTGAAGGTGAATAAACAGCCGTTGAAGGTAAATAACCTGCCCCAACAAACAGGGCCTCGGGTTGTAAAACTGTTAATAGCCCAGTGTCAGCGCCCTGGTCTCGGAATGCAGAGTGGTTCTATTCCACTGAGGTTCCTGATTGCCAAGTCCCTCCCCTTTCTCTGTCTCAGTTTCCCCTCTGTTGAATGATGAGAAGTTGAACACAGACTTGCTTCACAGGGGTGCTGCAAGGCTTCATATTTGTCATGCACTTTGAGACTCTTGCTTGGAAAACAACCGTGTGAACAATAATATCAATGTGTTATTAATGAAATAGAAGCAACCCTGGATGAATGGGCACTGACCGCTACCCATAGCCAGTCTCACGCTATAAGTCTTGGCGTTCACTTTCCCCGTTGGTGGTTTGCCCTCCTGGCGTATCATTTCCTTGCAGTGGTGACATAATGTCACACAGAGACCTCACTTGGGAGAGGCCAGACCCTGCCAGCTGATGCAGCCAACTAGAGGAACGGCTTTCACTGTGCATTCCCCAGCACCCTGGCTCCCACCAGGATATGCTTGGTGCACATGCCACAGCTTCACCCAGGGAACTCTAGGAAGGTCTGTCCCTGCCAAGTCACGGAGGCGCTCCCATCTCTCACAGCTCAGTGCAGCTTTGATTTACGCTCAGTTGCCACAACAGTCAATGAAGGTTCAGCTGGGTATCTGGCCCTTAAAGTCTGAAATTATTTCTTTTTAACAACTTCCAAGCCACAGATTTTCTCTCTTTCCAGTTTTTCTAAAGCATCTTGCTGTTCACTATTCAGTGTTATGACACGCAGTAAAATTCACTGTATGGTGCTTATCGTGTGCATGAAATGCTCCACTTACAAGGATGCTTATCTCTAGGATGGTCTCTTAAGAAGCTTTTTTCAATTTTTATTTAAGCTTTGATCGAGCAAGGCCTACATACACTAGACACTTAATGATTACCATTCGGAAAAATTAAACTCCTTCGGAAGAATTACCCAGGGTCAACTGTGCATAATTGTCAGCTTGACAGCGAGAGTTCTTTTCTGAATACAGATATTAAATAAAATCTGTAAAGCCACATCCACCCCGGTCTCTCGAAGCAAAATGGGTCAGCTCTCAGTGTGGCTCCGTCTCCTATGTGCTTGTGACTAATAGAGGCTGTTCTTGAACCCAGGAGGAAGCAGGATCTGTGAAGACTGATTATAGCTGTAGCCCAGGTGGTTTAAATTGGCTGACACTGAGTCAGTTACTCTCAGCAGAAAACGTAATATAAATGAGAAGACAGGCCCTAGACACCTGCATCCAACTCAATAGCTAGCACTTCTCCCTTTCCAGGAGCTCTGAGGGATCGCGGTCTCAAACCGAATTCCATGGGTCCTCAGGCAGCCCTAAGACCACATCCATCACCTCAATGGTACTGGCAGGGAACGTGGGCTGGTGGACCGTAGCTCACCAGAGGTATCGCCCATGAAGTTCCTGATTGGAGGAGAGGTCTGGCCTCTCCGATTGGCTCAGACTTGCTATATAAGCCAGAAGGCGGCACAGGAAGTTGACTGTGCAACTAGGTGAATCCCTGGATGGCTTCTACATTGGACCCTGCCTCCCTGCCCTGCTCCTGGTCCCTACCTTGTTCAACTTCCCTGCTTCTATACCTCTAGCATCTGACTCGGACGCTGACTCTTGGCTTGACTCCTGACTCTGGCTCTGGTTCCCAACTCCTGCTCCAAGCAGACCTCTAGGCCTGAGCCCACTGCACTGACCGCCTACATCCCGGTCCATGACAAGAGCCAGCGTCGGCTCTCCGACCACAACAGGAACGGTGGTCAAGACACTGATCCTGAAACTTGGATTCAATTCCCAGCTCTGAGGCAAAGTTCCTGCATGATGGTGTCTCTGGGCCTCAGTTCTCCATCTGCCAGAGGGGGAGATTCACCGTCCCTTTCTTTCACCCTTTGTCCATCTTCTCTCTCTAGAATGTTAGGGTTTCTGGGCCTGGACCATAGGTACAGCACCTAACACAATGGGGCCTAGGAGGAGGATGGCTGGGGCAGCTAGACGCTAACAATGCTGCAGCTGCTACTACACCTGCAGTCCCGGTTGGTCTGAGAGGATGAGGAGACAAACCGTTAGGGCCCAGATATATGAAATCAGGCTTTACGGTGTATAGCGGAGACTCAAGGCTGCAAGACAATACCCAGGACAGGAAGAAGCTTGAAATACAGTGCATACAAATGTCCATACTTTCAGTTTCATGACTCAGCACTTCTGATGTCAACAACTCACAAGAATGAGCAGTGAGAGCTCCCTGGGTCTGCGTGGGACTGTGCTGAATTCGAATTTGAAGGGAGCCATGCACATCGGCCTGAGGGCTTCCCGCTCTCCATCCAGAGATAATGAGCCATGGGGGGAACGCATGGCCGGCCTTCAGATGCGGTGGATTCTGCTCTGCTTTGAGAGCTGCTGCATTTACAGCATGTTGAGAAGCAGCTAATCTGAATGCAAAATAACCAATGTGCATACGACCAAGCGTCCAGCCAGTCTCCTTTAACCACACTGCAGCCATGGCGTTATA